ATGTCACCACCACTCGGTTTCCATTCGATTTCCTACCACCACCACCCGGTTTCTTACCATCCCCTCCGGTTTCCATCCGGTTTCCTTTCATCCCCTCCGGTTTCCATCCGGTTTCCTTTCATCCCCTCTGGTTTCCATTCGGTTTCCTTTCATCCCCTCCGGTTTCCATTCGGTTTCCTTTCATCCCCTCCGGTTTCCATTAGGTTTCCTGCCATTCCCCCAGCTATTCCCATTCGGCATCCTGTCTTTTTCCCATTCGGTTTAGCTTCTTTTACTCCAGCAATCTCCACGTTCCCACTAAATTATTTTCCTTTAAAGATACCCATTTTTATCTTATTTATGATCACTCAATTTTCTTATCTATTTTCTCTTCAATTAAACTATCCCTTTTTTATCTCTCTATCTTCTGCAATGAAAATCATACATTTTTTTGCTTGTCTTTCTCTCCAGCCAAACCATTCACTGTCATCCCCATCCTTTTCCACTCACCTCGTCGGAATCAACCAATCAGCACATCCAATATACATTACCTCGTTTTCTCTAATATCTCATTACACAGCTGCCACACTTTATAGATTTGCTTCAATGTGCATTCTCCTGGAATCTGTTGAGGAAAGCTCGACTGGTGTCAGCCTCTGAAGAGCTGAGTGGAGATGAAAGCGGATTGGAGAGCGGGTGAGAGGAAATATTAGTGCAGTTGAAGGGAGAATGGGGGGATGAAATGATAGAAAGGCAGGTAAGCGGAAAAAGGAATGCAGGTGGAAAGTGTGTGTGTGTGTATGGCGAAGGTGTGGGGGGAGAAAGAATCAGAAACAGTACAGATCATATATCGGAGACAGGCAGCGTGACATGACAGATGCAAGTTATATAACACCTTCTTCTCAACCCCAATGCCTCCCCTGTGACCTGGCCCGACTACCGTCCCAACCCATCCCCTCAGCTTCCCCCAACCCTACACCAGATTTTTTTTTTTTTTTTTTTTGCTACCTTATTCATCTCCTCTTTCCTCACCTTTCAGCTTTTACAAGAGTCTTCGATTTTTTTCCCCCCAATCAATAAGCGTGTCCATCAATCGTTGACTTAACCGTATAAAATATTGCTGTATTTTGTTTCTGGTTCAAGCCCACACAAAGGCTCTTTTCAGCTAGGTGTGACACTGTAGAAATGTACTGCAGATGAAATTTAAAATGCACATTACAAATAGAATAGTTTTTTTTTTTAATTTTTGTAGAGTTGCTGCACATTTTTTAAATGATTTTAAATTACAAAAAAATCTATTGATTAAAAAGTGCGCCTGCATTTATTTTTATGCGTGTATTTGATGCACTTATGTCTTTTAAAAAAATATCTCTACATTATTTTATTATTTTTCATATTTTTTGTTATTGATCAAAAGTACTCATGAATTTATTCCATCTAACACCTGCATCGTTTTACGTTCCCCTCCTCATGGTATAATGTTTAGCAAGCTTGTCACCGTTACTACTAAATAGTGAATCAGATCCGCAGTGGGCCTTATATCAAAACTAAAGTTAATAAATAACAACGTCTTGTTGCGGTACGAGATATATATATATATATATATATATATATATATATATATATATATATATGGGTGAGCTTGGTAGTATCTGCCTCGCAAAAGCACTTAATTACTCAAACTTTCATCATTAAAAGAAATATATAAAATTAAAACTGCTAGGAAGACATCTGAAGTTTTTTATTTTCCATAAAGAGAACCTTATATATATATATATATATATATATATATATATATATATATAATGTGTGTGTGCTGCATGCTTTCTCCCCGACACTGAAAAATAAAGCTAGTGGATGTTATAAAAGGCTGTCTTTATTCATAATTCGACCACGTTATGTTACCTACCCACGAGTCAAGAAGGCATATTCTTTAAAGTCTACGATAAACTACATCCGACAGTAAGGCCATTGATCGGGAGATTAGGGGTTTTGAAAAATTCCCAGGTCCATCGGGGTACCACCTGTTAGGGGGGGCTCTATTTGCCCATAGCTAGCACCCTACCAAATATGAAAGTTTAAAAATACATTGCATGCCTTCTCCCTGATCCTAAAAATTAGGCTAGCTGGTATTATAAAAAGGCTGACTTTGTTCATAATTCAATCACGTTATGTTACTTACCTACGAATCAGGAACGCATCTTCTTTAAAGTCTGTCTACTAAAAGCCCGTGTTCTGTGAAGACGGGACTCCGTTGATTGGACGTTGTGTCACATGACCCGCCTTATCGCGGTAAATACTGAGGAAGAAAAAGGAACGTTATCCTAACAACCTGAATCATTTTTGTCGAGTTTTAGGCACTTAAAAGTATATTAATTACTCGTGTCAAAGGTTTGGCTGACTTATTTACTCTTGGTAACCAAAGATGCGCATATAACACTGTGTTGATCACAGACTTAGAAGGACAACTTTAGGTCATGGAAAGCAAGAAGAAAGGACTATTAACTGGAAGACTAGAATAGAATAAACGGGCATCAACATGAAAACCAGTTGAAATCGTAAGTTACGAATTGGAGGAGTCGTAAGAATCGAGTAGGTACAGAAATTTTATCTGGGTAGTGTAGTAATAGACAACTGAAAATGTGACGCATAAATCCGAAGGTCCGTTGTATCAGCGAAAGATGCCTTCCTGAAACTAAGCAAAGTATTAAGATAGGAAAAATTCGTTAAGAATAAAGATTGCTGAACTTCTATATAAAATAATTCATCTTTTACAGCAGTAACTGATGGACAATTTCTTAAAGACTTCAGGTAAAATCGATATTCCTCTACAGAAGGATGTTGAGAATGCCATGAACGGAATATCTGAGCAACGGGGAAATTTTATGGAAAATGAGAACAAGAAGCGTACTTTCACTTAGTATCAGGAAAAAAAAACAGTTGAAATAAAAAAGTTGCTAGGGCACATAATAAGGAAAGAGGGTTTGGAGAATTTGATACTCACAGGATATACTGAAGGCAACCAGAATAGAGAGGGAACATCGAGCAGCGAACTTAACTGGTTTTTACGAATGGATGGCCGAACTTGGACAGGAAGTTGTGGAGTGCCATGATCGCCAACGTGCTGTAGGGAGACAGTAAATCAAATAAGAAAGAAGTCACCATTGAAGTAATTTACTATTGCGGAAATCTTTCAGTGATCTATTATTTTTGGAGCTGTTGGATGATTTATTTTGTCATGTATCGGCTTTTAGGTTATTTCTTCACTATTACACGAATCCTTGAGTAACCTGTTATTTCTGGATTATTTAGCTGATTTATTGATTTCTAGAGCTCTCAGCTGATTTATTGACTTTTGTCGGATGCCTTCGGGGATCATTCTTTACTGTTACGAGAATTCTTAGGAGATTTATATACTCGTGTAGGAGTAATTGTGACATTAACGCTTTGAATGATTTCTTACTGTTGTTGAAGCCCCCGTGCGATCAGTTTCTTCCAAATTGGCATAAGCCGAAAATTTAACAGCATCGATAATATTCATGATTTAATATTAGTGGATCAGTGATTTAGACCTAACTGAAATGATTTTTTTTCTTATGGTTATCTCGCGTTTAAACACCGTCCGGTCACCGAAGTTAAGCAACGTTAATCTTGGTCAGTACCGAGACGAGTGACCCCTTGGGAATACCAGGTATATTTCCCCGGACTCCTCGACAAGGCTGGATGTGACACAAGGTCGTTTTAACGTGGGGAGTACCATACACATACTTATGCATATGGGTCAAGGACAAAAATTGATTTTTGCCCAACCCCCGCGACCAAGCTGTTGTCGAACCTCTTTAGTGCGACGGAGAAGGTGCTGCCGCAGGGTTGGAATTTCCGGAGCTGAAACTTTTCCCATCTAAAGTGACGAGAATCATAACCCCACTTACAACACAGGGACGTTAACGCCACTTCAGTAAAGCCTAATTGGCTAATGGTTAACCCCTGTGCCAGATGCCGTAAGTTTGGATGTGATGTGCAGGTGGTTTGACGAATAACAGCTCGTAATAAGAAATCAGAAGGAGGCACGTTGGAGTAATGGATAGCGGCTCGGATTGAGGAATCGGAGAGCCGAGTTCGAATTCCAGTCGAATCCATTACATTCACTTACGTGCTAATACTCTTGGGAAATGTATGAATCCTCTTCTTATCCCACCAGCTATGGGTTAAATAGCAGGACAGACCGGATGGTAACTGGTAAGTAACTGGGTTTACCGAGGGTTAGAGAATATGAGAAAAACTACTATTAGGGAGAGAGGACAATAAAAGGACAATAATTAAGGAGACAAGAGGTAATGATTGACATTGCATTTAAATTTTTGAAGATCAAACTTGACCGGGAAGCAAAAAGATGGAAGAATTCCACAAGCGAGAAGTACGATAGAAGAAACTCTTAGCATAGAACTTACGGTTGCATCTCGCCATTTCATGTACTGCGCTTAAATTCATAAAGTCTATTTTCCATAGAGGAAAGCAATTCAGGAGTAATGACATTGCAGATTCTTTGGATTTTTATCAAAAATCTCTAAATATATAGCAGGAGCACCGGACCAGTTGTGGCAGCAGGACATAGTGAAGCAAAGTTGCAGACCTAGCAATTGATTCAATATACTATTTCCACTTCATGTCAGCTAAAAACATTAGTCCGAGTAGGCGTAATGAGTCATTCTCTTGGACATTAACATCACTCATGCTGATGAAATGTAAAAAGTTTCTTCTTAGATGATTAAAAGGGAGCAGTTTAATTTTTGAGTCGTCAACACGTCATTTCTTGCCCCATTTAACAACAGATTGTAGATCATTCTAGAGATCAGTTGCCAATTTGACCATATCAAATCAATCAGACTTATTATTAAGACAAAAGTAAATAGATGGGCTGGAATTAAATTTTTATATAAAAATTATCTCATCGAAATCGACAATAAATGAATACGTGTGACAATTCAATTTCTGGGATAACATTTGTACACGAAAACGTCCGGACTTTTGCATTTTTGAGATGCAGACCAGATGAGTTATTTGTTGCTAAATAGAAGTGGTAGCTGTACGTGTTCACGTTATAATGTTGGCGAAAAACGAATTCAATGAGTATAGAGCAGTGAATTCGATACTCACGAGACAGATTAAAAGCAAGACGGACAGATAAAGACAACGCATAACAAACTTAGTGAGCTTGAGTATATGGATGGCGGAACAGTTCAGGAGAAATAACAAAAAAACTAAATTTATTAAGACTTACGAAGGACAGGAAACAGTGGAGAGCTATAATCGCGTACATCCTGAAGGGACACGGCACACAAAGAAGAATGAACATCCTTTTGTATGAAAATTGATAAAAAAAATAGTGAAATTTATCCCTATTAAAAATGGCTAATGATTAACATTCCATGAAAGTTTAACGGCATATCAACTCCTTATGGGTCATTTAATGCCGAAATTTAATAAAATATGATGTGTTATTCCGCTTTCACAATGTAAATTTGGTAGATGATACACAGCTTTTTATTACATGTTTATGTAGACATAATTACTAGTTTTGTTGAAGTTGTATTTAGTAATACAGTTTGATTTCTTTAAGAAATTGGAGGATACTATATCGATTATTGTCATGAAAGAGT